TTTCTAGTGTCTTATTTCCAGAATGTTGGAAAGAAAAAAGACAGTTTGCCACTCTTCTCTCCATCTTGTCCACAAATTATTGAAAATCCTGAGGCTGACTTCTTTCACAAAGTCAGTTTTGTCCCCTAAGAACCCAGGGCTGCAATTAAGCCACTGGTCTTTGTTAAATTTTTAAAAAATTCTTTCATACTTGAAAACAGAGTCTACAGGTAGAGTCCAACAATTTGACTGCATGATCCTTCTGGGTCTACTTCCCTGATTTTACTTCCTGTGCTTGCTGCGCTCTCTCATAACTCGCCACAAAGTATTTAAAAAATTACACAAATATAGTGGACAATTTGGTAATGGACGGAGGGAAGGGGGGTTGTGGAGCTCGGAGAGTGGGGTGAAGGGTTAAAGAAGTACAAATCAGTAGTTGATAGATGATCACCAGGATGGGAAGCATGGCAGAGGGAAGGCAGTTATCATTAATATGATGGCTAGGTGGAGGGCCAGGGGAGAGAGGGAGCAGTTGGGGGGATCGTTTTATGAACTATATAGATGTCTAACCAATGTACTGTATACTTGAAACTTATTTAAATACATAATTTTTAAAAAAAAATGCACAATAGTAAAAGAAACTCACCAGTGAGAATTTCTTCTCAAGTGAAAACACTGGGCAAATGACAAATATCACATTAAAATTATATTAATATCATTCAGTTTTATTTTACACCACTTTGCAGTATATAAGTAGTTGCATTATTTTCACCCATTCCTTTTTGTTCTACTACGAGTACTTTCTATGGTCACACTGATTATTTCACTGTCGTACACTCGGCCTATCTCAGTGAAACATCAGTAGATTGATTGACACGGATATTTAATACAAAAAATGACCCTTGAAGTGCAGATGATGAGATTAAACAAACAAGCTGGATGAGGAATCACAAAATAGTCATATTCTGATTGCCAAGAGACCAAAACTGTGACACACAAATGGGAAGTTTGGGTCTTTCTGGACCACACAAGGTTAGCCATGGCAGAGATCAACCAGGCTTCTCAACTCAGTAAAATTCAGTCACGCTCATCTGCTCACACTTCACATTCTTTATCAAGTAGGGGCTGTGGTGGGAAACACGCCGCATTAATGAAAGCCCACACCCATGTGTGCACACATACACACACACAAACTATGTATTTATGATTTCAGAAACCTTGTAGGAAACAGTATGTTGGAATGTCAATTGGATTTACATGTTGATAAAATTTCAGTGAAATGAGCCTACTATCATGCAAGATTACTGTAAAAAAGTTAATTGCACTAACTGTACTTGTTGGAACAGAGAACTGTCTACTCTCTTTACCAGCACTAACTAGATTTCCCTCTCCTATCACCACTGCAAACACAAAAAAGGCAGTACTTAAAGCTAGAACCTATTCTGCAAAATCTTCAAGTCAGTCAGTGGCATTTCATATGCATTTCTATTTCTGCCTTAAATCTTCCAAATGCAGACATATGAGAAATATAAATCTTGCCTCAGCAAGGCTCGAAGGAAACATTTGACTCTAAGTCGTATTCTCACTGATCATTCTTGGTTAAATAAGTCATAGAAAAGATAAATTAAATTGCATCATCAGCTTAAATATTTATTCTCATTTGTAATTTCCATATCCTAAAGCCAACTTGTTTAACTCTTAAATGTACGTACTCCACTTAGGATATGGAACTACAACTATACATTTTTTCCTAGTAAGTTATATGTGATGCCTAAATACTGGAACTATTTATATGAGGTAAATTTTCTGAGTTTTTTCATTATATTTTATAGAGAATAATTATTTGCTTTCTTATTTTGAACTACCAAAGGCAAATAAAGAAACAGGGATCTCTTTAGTATCTACTTTTCATACAAAACAAATACTATTTTGATGCTAATTTTTTTGGACAATAGTATAGCATCTTGAAGTTTTTCTTATGTTTTTGTCAAAAGAAGATATACTTAGATATATATTTTTCCTTTTTCACAAATATTTAAAATGTATTCTCAAAGTAGAATAAAATATTTTGGCCAAATAATCACAATCAATTGCTTTTTTCTCTCTCCTGTCTGCTTTTAAGGCAGTAATCAAAATGTCACAAGATACTTTGAATAAAAGTTCTGTGAACAAAAGTTCTTTGAATGAAGTTCTTCTGAAAATGTAGACAATGAAAAGAACATCTAGCTGTTTGCCCCAAGATGGAGGGACAAAAAGAGAAACAGGTTGACCATAAACACTCCTATCAATTAGCTCTAGCTATAAAATTACTGCCTAATAAAAGGACCACATAACTTCCATAAGGGTTAAGGCCTACAGGGTCAGCTAGGGGTAGATAAGGCATCCATGTATTTCAATAAGTATTCGCCACGATTCTTATAGTAAAACTGTTGGGGAAAAGGGAACAAAGGCTCTGTAAAAATGTGGTATTTTCATCAGTTAATTAGCTAAATGCCAAGTCCTAGTGATTTTGTTCTTTACTTGAAGAGAAATAGATGCCTTGGAAGAAAACTCTTCCTGTGTGTTTTCATAATGTTTACCAGGCAAAAAACATTTTTAAAAGCTAGGGGAGAAGGTGAAAGAAAGCTTAAGCTTAAGGTGAATTTTAGAGAGGCAATTTATACTAGACATTTTTTAAAGTTTTTTAAGTCAGTAATGGGTTTTTCCAGATTATGTTGCTATATACACATTGCCATGAATATATCCAGGCAAAATGTACAAGCTGCTAAATCGAATCTGGCAATTTATATCATCAGTTGCCATTCTGATAATTCATTCATTCAGCGTTATTGAAGTTAGTCTGCTGTCTCAAACTGTATTATAATCATCATAATATTAACTAAGTTCTTTTAGTAAATATATAATTTATTTTTATCTTAGGCTAGGATTGCTGACATTCCCCTTTTCACTTTTACTTAGGATTTATTGTACATATTGTATCATTAGTAAGACAGTAGTTCTGAGAGATTGTTCTACTGGTCTATGCATATTGGTGGGCTTTCTTTGGTGAGAAATTTGGCTAAGAAGAATATCTTGTTTGTGGGATTAGGCAAAAAGTTGCCATTTCAAATATTTTTGTCTTTTAAAACACGTTCTGCTAGGTAGAGGAGGAAAAATTCTTTTCCTTTTGCCCTTCTAGTGTCTTGTCTGGGGCTCTGTACCTAGACAGATCAACATGAGAAAAGCATGCATATTTATTTAGAGTGGAAACTGGTGGGAAAATGTGATAGAACAAAGGGGTATGAGCTGTGGTAGTACACTAGGAGAAACTTAACAAGTCCTGTTTGTTCATATTCCTCTCGGCATCCCTTTGTCTTTGAAGATAAGGATACTCCTTTCTTCTAAGTATAATGAGTGCATCTCTCACATGAGGGTCTTATGACTTGCTTCAAGGAAGAATGGAAGCAGAGAGTCCTTTCTGCACCTGTCATTTCTCAAATTCCTCCAGCTTAAAATAGTATGCCAAGGTGCCATATTTTGGGGTAGCATGTCCTAAAATCCATCCCTGCTCCATCTGAAATTTTCCCCAAGAAGTTCGACAGTCCGGAAACTTAATTGGTAAATTGTCTCATATCCCACTGAACCAGTCTCATTTCTGGGAATAGGTCAGTGCTAAACAATGTGTCTCATTTCAGGAGGTAGTGGTGTGGGAGGGAATAGGGCACCCACCTAAGTTAGGCATTTAACAAGGGACATTTCTATGGAAATAAAATAAAAACAGGTTAATGGTCAAAACAAGTTATAAACTCAGTTTTTGAGTCCAGAGGGCAAGTCAGTCAAAAAGATGTCTAGATGTTGCGTTCAGAGCATCTTTAAGTGGTGGAGTAAGGACAGACAGTAACAATCCAATGGATTTTCTAGTTTGCAGTTTGAATATCTCTGGTGATGGCATTGGGTGTTCAGTGAACTTTTTGAGTGGCCCACACAGAAGGTATGAAGAGCATCCATACATGATCTACATACATTCATACAGAGGGTCCTACATCCATACAGAGACTTCCTAAAAGTTTAGATCACTATCGGTCATAAGCTTGCAGAGCTGTGGGAAATGGGCAGTTTTAGTTTGTAGTGATGCCAAGTCAGGAAAGTGAGAGGAAAACTGGAAACATTAATTATTAATAGAATGGACAAAATGGCAGGATTCAGTTGATAAAGAGATGAAAATAGTTCAAAGATAATAAACATTCACAAAGATAGATGGTAGTTTTTCATTGAAACGATTTTTTTCTTTACAATTACCTCCATTTCTACCAAGGACAATTAAAGACTTTTTATTTGCAAAAATAAGTCTAGTCTCATTAAACTTGGCCTAATTAGTTAGATAAGTGCACCAAGAATAATGGATCATGTAAACTCTTTTTAAGTCTGCTTTGCAAGGACCCTCTGGGAAATTTCAAAGTTAGTTCAAAGTCAAAAAGATTTTATTTAGAATTTAATTTGGGGAAGTTTGTCAAAATATCAAAAGATGTGAATACTTGATTAAATAAGATCTCGGTCATCTATTTAACCACAGAGACAATAAGAGATTTTAAAGGAAAATACAGTTTAAAGCTACATACCTGTGGTCAAAACTCTTAATATTAAGAAGATTAAGTTTTCTTAAGTTATCAAAAGACTTGATAAAATCAACATGAAGCACAGAAGTTATTTTGATAAAACACAGAATCTCCGTGTCCTAGGAAAATTACTTGGAAGGTAATTAACAACCCGCTCACCCTGGCGGGCAAGAAACCAAGCCAAGCTCTCAGGACACACACACAAAATAACAGAAAAACAAAAGCTTTCCCCAGGAGGGAAAAGATCAATAACCAATGGGTACTCAAAACCAAATTCACAAGTCACAATCCAAACAACAAATTCTTACAAATGTTTTTCTTTCCAGCTCATCTGAATTTGGGAAGGAAGAGGCAAAGATAAATTTTTATCTTCCTCTCTAGACTAAGCACTAAAAGAGACCCACAAAAGTGATATAGAGTTCTTACCTTCTGCTGGCTTTTTGTCACTTGTCCCAGACCTCGACTCCAGTCTCCAAGGAAAGTGGAGTATATAGCCTTTTCCTCTCCTATCCTTGTCACCAGAAACTATAGAGGAAGAAAAAAAAAATCTATGTTTTTCCCCTTCTACTCTTCTAGTTTATTAGCTGGAGTTTTGTAACAAAAGATAGATTTACAAAAGGAAAGCATGTAACTTTATGTAATATAAGTCTTATGTGATATGGATCCTTCACAGGGAAATGAAGATCCGAAGTGATTATACCTGAGTGTTTTTATGCTCATTTGATGAAAAGTGGGAAGTTATGGGAAAATGGAATAGGATAAAGGGGTATGAGCTAAGAGCAGTAACCCAAGAAAAACTTAGAAAGGCTAGTCTAGAGTCCTCTTTGCATCTTTAGAGATAAGGATGCTCCTTTCCTCCCAGTATAGAGAAGGCATCTCCCACAAGGGTCTTATGACTTGCTCCAGGGAAGAAGGAGGGTCAGAGAGTCCTTCTTGAACCTGACACTTCTCAAATTCCTCCAACTTAAAATCTTTAATATTTCGAGGTGCCATATTCTGGAATGAACCCCCTTTGGCTGCAATAACTCAGTAGCAGGAGAAAGATTTTTGTTCTAACTTAAAGTATGTATGTGTTTATGTGTGTGAAAGAGAAAGAGAGAATTCAAGAAACATATATTACGTATTTCAGAAATTCGTACTGGAAAGGACATAAACATTATTTAAACCCTCAACCCAATTACTATTAAATTGTATTTAATGCTATTTCTGTCCCGTCAAAATTCTTAGAAACCATTGTAACCTTACTCTAATCTTTTTGATAAATATATGTTATTTACTTCTGAACACAGACTAAACCCAAAAGTTTTTAACCAACAAAAGTTATAAATTAGCTCCACATTACCTACATGCATGCAATCTTACAATGCCCTCAAAATCCATGCCTTAGGACATGCTCTATAAGTAAGACTGTGAGCTTAAGAATCTCTGTCTTCTTAAGTGATAACCAAAAGGTATGTATCTTATCCATTGTTTTCTTTTGGTGTGGCCTAATTTTACTCAGAGATTTTAGCCAAATGACTTGTTACTCTCATATCTTTGTAATTTCAGAATGCTGGATCTGGACCAACAGGCTTTTAAATCAACCTAATTAAGGGAATGTAAGTGGGAGACCTGTGAGGAAGGACAAGTAATTTATAGAACCCGAATTTCTAAAATCACATTAAAGCATGATTGAATTTCATGCTGAAACACCAAGGGTTGCAAACGGCTGACAATCTACTCTTTTGTCATTCACATCACCATCCCTCACCAAGTTAATAAGTCCTTTTATAAACTAATTCAGCCATTCTGATGCTGTCATTTGGCAAGTTATAGATATAATTCTTGATAGACAGACACGCTGTACCAGGTAAAAGGAACTGCTATACATAGGCCTTTCGTAATGTGGAGGTTAAGGTGTTAAGGAAGGGAATCAGTCTATAGTCCTGTGATTAGGTCTTAGTCTTTTGGTGAACCTGTGCCTCTGGACTATGAACTTCACAACTGTTTCTCAGTCTTTTTTCCACTCCCTTTCGGTACAACAGGATGGCTAGAGTGGGCTAGAGTTGGGTATCTCCCCTCTCCAGGTCACTTAGGCTTTGGTTAACTAGTTTCCCCTGAGGACAGGCCTTATTAAAAACTGATGCTCTGGTATGTTTCCAACGAGTTCCTTTTCTCCTCTCTTTGCTAGAAACACAGAGGGATTTTTCTCTGATATTTACTATTAGAACCTGGTCAAACTCCTGGAGATAAATCTCAAGAAATCGTGGCAGTCCCTCTATGACAGGGTTCCCCTGGAATTTTCAGCTCTATGAGTTATCCACACTTTGCCTCTAGCAATCCGTCAATCACAGCTCAGGTTTTCCTATCCCGGCACTGGTCCCCCATGCAGTTTTCACTCATGAGTCTCTGCTCTGAGAAGCCCTGTATTTGCCTGTCTCTCCAATTCTGGGGACAGTAGTTTACCCTATGTCTTCCCCTCTTTTATGGATCCAAGAAGAGTTGTTGGTTTGTCAGTCTGTTCGGCTTTGTACTTATGGTTAAAACAAAGTGTTGACTTCCAGTCTCTTGACAAGCAGAACTGGAAAACAGAACTTCTAAATATATTTCAATCACTGCAAAAATAGTAATTCAAAGAACTCCTAGATCAAAGAAACAGATTGTTGAGAAATAACCCAGCAGCCTAGAAAGAAAAATACACAGTTCTAGTCTAATATCTTTAAATAAGGTAGTAAATGGATGATGTGTGATTACCAATATTTTAATGGCAAAAAGAGCCCCATGGAGAAGATGATAAGCATGATGAAGTATTATCTTTTCGCAAAATGAGTTAGCAGAGTAGGTACACCCTTTTCTATACAGGATTCAATTCAAGCAGTGGCAATAGAAAAGAAGGGAAGTAAAAACTGAGCACCTAGGTGGAGAGATATACTGGAATGCATGAAAGTGTCTCATTATCTACAAGGAAAACAGTCTCAGGTTTCTGAAAAATAGCCATAAAAGCAAACTGGAAAAAAAGCCACAACCTTTAAGTTGCACATGCAGCAAAGATGTCACAATCCTGAGAAGAACTAGCTTTTGTCTTTCAGTTATTTCTAAACTGCAGTAAGTAGATGATTTGATAAGATAATAGTTCTAGAGACCTTGGCTCAGACCAAAAAATTGTGACCATACCACTATTTTTAATCTTTAAGATATCAAATACATTTAATTCCTCTTAATACATGTTCTGATGGCATTCCAAGACATTTCCATCGACAAGTACATGGTATGAATTCTGTAGTTCTAATGAACTTATGAATATATTATGTTGCCCTTTAGTTAACGAATTGAATATGATGTTAGACAATGCATACTAGTTTACTGCTAATTCAAAGATGAAGTTTGAAGATTCATCTTCTGCATTTGAATCTCACTTCTTGTTTAGTTGGGGGGAAAAAATTGTATGTTTTTCATTAAGTATTATTTTTGTTGATTACATATGATGAAATATATACTATAAGGACTAGGACCATCATACTTCTAATAATATGTTCTACATAATTAAGTAAGGTATTAGAAAAGTCCAATGATTAAAACTCTAATTGTGTAACTGTTATTTTCATAGGAAGTTTATAGAAACTCATCTGAAAACCATTCCCAGTCGTGCATTTTCAAATCTGCCCAATATTTCCAGGATGTAAGTAATTTTTTAATATAAAAAAAAGTTTGCATTTGTGACATGTTGCTTTCTAAATGTGTTCTATTAACAAAAATACTTGTTATATATTATACTTGCATAAGTCTATGACATGTATCTTTCTAATGTATATGAAATTTTATGTACGAGATGTTTATTTGATTTTGCTATCTCCACTCCCTAATTCCCAAATGATTTTTTTTTAATCTAAAACAAATTTAAATTCATTTGGCCTTGAACACCTAATAATTCTTGATGTATTTTAATACATCTTGGGAGGTGGCAAAATCTTAGCTGGGAATCTCTCCCATATACAAATTTCTATATCTACCTATAATCGAGCTATCCTAATGATTAATTCTTGATTCACTTTTCACACTAGTACAAATGTTTGCATTTTGCCATACATGGAGCCAATGATTTTAGTCTTCTCTCACTTAAAAAAAAAAAAAGAATTAAAAATAATTCTAAACCATAGAAAACTAAACTGCTCCACACTCAAGATTGAGGAGGAAAAGGACTTCTATGTTGAGTTGACAAAGAGTATCTGTATATGAAATAAACCAGGTCTATATTTCATTTAATCAGTTCTGACAAGATTTGCAAGTAATTCAGGCACAACAAATGACAATACAACTAGGAGCAGCCTATATAGCTTCCGGCTAAATTTATTCATTTCATGACCATTTATTGAGCGTCTCTTACATCATTTCAGGGGCATTTGACATTTTGGGTTGTCACCACCAGAGATGGGGGCACTACTGACAAAGAACAGGCAGAGGCAAAGGATCTGTTAAACATCCTACGATGCATAGGAGACCCTCCCACAACAAAGCATTATCTAGTCCAAAATGTGAGGCAGGCTGAGTCTGAGAAGCCATTCTAACTGAACATCTCTAGTTTTTGGTGTCCCCAACCACCCTTTCCTTTTTCATATTCTTGATCTGCTTTGGTTTCCTTGATATTGCTTTCTCATCCCTCTTTTTATTGTCTTGCCCTAGCTACCCTTTCTTACCCTCCTTTCCTGGCTTCCTATTTCATTTTTTTCAATCCCCTCAATACTAGTTCTTTATTTATGTATTTTGTCTATACCCTCCTCTCCTTGAGTGGACACTCCCAGTCCTGTGGCTTCACTTTTACCCAATACAACTAATTCCTAAATGAATCTCTCCAGCCCTGACCTGTTCTTACAGTTCAGGCCTGCATTACAAACTTCCTTCCAAATGTCATCACCTTGGTGTCCCACAAGCACAATAAACAGCATATACAAAATAAACTCGTCTTTCTCCTAAAGTACTCCTTCTTTTAACAGCACCAGAATTTAGTGGGCTGTAAGCTAACATCCCCAGATTCCCCCTTAGCTCTTCCTTTTTCCTCACCTCCTTTATATAACTGCCTATTTTGTGTCTCCATTTGACTATATTCACTTATTCAACAAATATTTATTGAGCCCTACTTCGTGCCCGGCATTTTGCTAGATGTGTCACATATAACAGTTGACAACACTCATGGAGCCTCCAGTTTCTATTTTAAGAGAGTAATAAGTGCCATGATGGGGTAAACTAAAGGTGCTGAGGGAACTCATATGAGAAGTGAATTACCTGGATGGGGAGTGTGGTCAGGGAAGGCTTCCTGGAGGAAATGGCACCTAATTTGGAATCTGCATTATCTGGCTAAATAAATAAATAAGTAAAGAGAGTTCCAGGCATAAGAGAAAACCCTGGGCTGTCTGTGACATTAAAATTAGTTTGTTGAGTCTGAGAGTAGGTAGTGGGAAAATAATAAAACTGGGAGGTAAGCAAGTGCAAGGCCTATGAATCATTTGAAAGAGTTTGAAATCTTCCCTAAGGACCAAGCCACTAAATGATCATAAGCAGAGAAGTGACAGATCAGATGTTTTAAAAACGTTCCCTTGACTGTGCTTTGGAAAGCGAATGGAAGTGGAGCAAGCCTGGGGACAGGAAGCTAGTGAGGAGGCTGAAGTGAGACCCCGGGCAAGTGGGGATGAAAAATGAAATGATGATGGTTGAGTGGGAATACAGAAAACGTGGTCAGATTTGAGAAATAAATAAAAGAGAACTCATAAACTTAAAAGTTGATCGATTTGGAGGTAGAAAGGGTTGGAGAAGAATTTCATTCAGGCTTCTGACTAGGATACCTATGTGATTGATGAGCTTATTCACAGAGACAAAGTTTCCTGTGGCTTTGCTGCAGAGGGGCAGGGAATAAGTTAGGAATTCACTTGGGGGCATATAGCATTTGAGGTGCCTTTGAGGCATCAAGCAGATATGTCTAGTAAACATCAGGACATAATTTTTTTATTCACTCATTCGAGAAATATTTGTTCAGCCCTATTATGTGCCAATCATTGTTCTAAGAGATAGAGAACAAAGAAAGATTCATGCCCCTAAAGAGTTTACATCAAATGAAAAGATATAGACAATGAACCAAGAGATATTTGGGTGGAGTTTGAGGCTTGAGAGTCACAAACAGGTAGATGTAACTGGGACCAGGGGAACAAAATCAGTAGAGAGGAGGCCAAAAAAAAAAAAGTAAAGAAAGAATGGTTTTCAAGAGCACAAAGTCCCTGAAAAGGCAGGAGAGGATGGGACCCAGCATAGGGACTGAGCTTCTACAGGTCATCTTTTACATTGTAACAAGAAAGTAATAGTAAGAGGTGGGGCAGGTGCAAGTAAATTAATATCTTTTTTGGAAGGGAATTCAAGAAATTCCTTACTGAAGATTTTAATCTTTTCTACAAATCATTAAAAGATTATCTACTAATATTGAGGTTGGAACTGGCAAAGTTTGAAATGAAAGCAATGGGCAATTAAAGGAGAGTTGACTGAGATATACAGGCAGATTGGAAGGTTCGAGTGAAGACCTCCAGAGAGACTGGGCTAGATTCTTTAGTCCACATTAAAGAACCCGATCAGAGCACTTATAACCCTGTATGTTGATTCCATTTACCTGTCTGTATGTCCAATTGCTGTGAGTTTCTTGAGGCTACGGAACACTTCTGTTTGGTCAATTGCTATTTACTGACATACAGTAAATGTTCAATAGATATTTGTTAAATGAAGGGACACACACACACTTGAATAATAGTTAAAGAGGTGATATATCTAGGGGCAAGAGAGAGATGACCAGGATGACAGTACAAATTGCTACCTATTAGTTTGGCATAATTATTAACAGCACCCTGTTTTAACTCACAAAAATATCCTATTTGGGATGATAAATGATATGCTCACCCTAGTGATTACATAAGACTTAAATGATAAGAAATTTGAGAAAGAAGTGGGATCTGATTTTTCCTAGTTATAGTAGTGGAATAAGCAAACAGGAATCACTCCTTTCATTGCACTAAATAAACGTTTCCTACATGTTGGCCTCACAGCTGAGCTTTAAGAGACTTCTAAAGAAGTATCATTCAGTTGGAGAAACTAGACTTTCAGTTACTATGACATGGGCTGAATGACTATCCCACTACAACCTGGAGAAAGCTTTGTACGCTAAACTAAGAAATTCAAGAGACATTTCGAAGCAGTGGATCTGATGCAAAGTTAGATAAACAAGTTTGCAACCTTTAAAATTAATCTTGTCTTTCAGATGGTTCTACTTCATCCATATAAAACCCTACAATCTCTACACAATAAATTAATTCTTTTCAATGTATTCTATTATTTCCTCTATGTTAGAGATATGATATTTCGATTGAAATAACCTATGTAATGTTATTCAGAAGTGACAAAAGCTTGGGAGACTTGATAAATCGAAGGATAATTATTTAGAAAATAGATAATTCAAAGAGAAAGCACAGGACCTTTAGAAAACTAACAGTGACCATGGTAAAAACTCAAATGGAACAGTGAGAGCTCCTTTTATAAACTTCTGTTAATGAAAATATTTTACTGGCAGATTCAATTCAAAGTATAGGCCAGTGGTTCTCAATCCTGCCTGCACACTGGGAAGTTTTTTAAAAATAAAGTATTTTCTTCATCCTTCATAAACACCAACTTGATTATCCTGGACAGAGTCTTGGATATCTCTCTGTTTTAAAAGCCTCCCAAGTAGTTCAATTGTATGGTCAGGGTTGAGAATCTCTGCTGTGGGCTACAGGTGAACACCATCTGTTAATTGTTAATTTTCCCAAATGTCATAGAAATGCCTCTCAATAAAAAGTAGTCATTGAATTTGGCTGCATTAGTCATTGTAATTACAGGATGGAATTTGAGGAGACTATTTGAAATGTCATTCCTTCTGTATTCTTGTATTTCTCCTTTTTAGTACTTAACACTTATATTTGAGCTATCTTTTGCTTACAAAGTTCAAAACAAACCTTGAAATTTTTCAGCCTCATCAAAACCAAGAGGAGAAGTCTGTAGATAATCTGTAGTCACCACCCTACGGAATGTTCCACTAGGGCATTGTGACTTTCTCTTCGCCTTTGAAACTACACCTCTAATACCATACTATTAGGTACTCCATTAAAGATGCCTCATTCATTCTAATACCTTTCATTTTCTCCTTATTTGAGTAACTCATGTATTCATTTATTCATTCATTCATTTAATACATATTAATTGAGAGTCTACTGCATGCTAAGCACTATGAAAGAGACTCAAGATTCAATGGCCACCAAAAACAGACATAGTTCTCCATTTCAGAGAATTTTCAGTCTAATGAGACAACATAAATTGAATATCGTCCAGTTGCCAAGTTACACTGTGATAATTAGTAAAAGAAGAAGTTTCTGGTACTATGCGGATATACTATGGAAAATTTATTCAGGAAATTTGGGATAAGCTTCTGAAAGAAGTATCAGTAAAATGAAACCTGAAGGATGAATAGGACTTAATGTATTGGGAAACTTTCAGGTATCACAAGATCTGGAAAAAAGTAGTAACTAATTTTAATATAATTAGGGAGAAATCAGAGGGTTGTGCATGTTTTATGATCTGGGAAGCCCCTGACAAAGAAGTTACATCAAAATTAAGAGTGTATTTGGAATAAATGACCTTCCTAACTTTCTACTTTGTCTTATATTTTTGACATTCAGCTACTTATCAATAGATGCAACTTTGCAGCGGCTGGAGTCACATTCCTTCTACAATTTGAGTAAAATGACTCACATGTAAGTACGATGAAAAGTGCAGCACAAACCCAAGCCACTGCCACTCTTGGCTGACATTTTGGGGTTCTGGATGGCAATTAACAGTCCAACTATGCTGATGGGAAGACCATATGGGGAGGCCCTTAGATTAAATGGATTTGGAGAAGGACTCGGCGAGCCTAGCCTTCTAGCAATGCCCAGGCAGAGAAGTACAACCATCTTGGACCTTCCAGATTGATCCAGACGCCAGCTAAAAACCAACCAGTAATCCCAGTGGATGCTACAGGAGCAGAAGAATCACCCAGTTTAGCACTGCCTAAAATCCTAACCCACAAAATAGTGAGCTATAATAAAATGGTTGTTATTTTAGCCACTTATTTTGTGATAATTTGATAGCCAGAAGAAGTGGCCATTATATATCAGTTATCAATGGGTAAAAGACATTGAGGATTTGTAATAGAAAACTATAAGAACAGCAAGTTTCCTTGTAAATTATTGAGTGCTCAGTGGATACAAATCAGTTTTTCTGAGTTTTAAACTTCAGCTGAGATATTATTTGGACCCAAAAGTGTACATCTGATAAAGATTTATACCCGTAAAGTGATGAAACACTGGCCACTTCCATCTTCTATTTCATTTGCTCTGTCAAGAAGCCAGCAGCATAGAGATGGTTGGTGTCTTTACTCCTATTAATAATAGCTACTAATTACTGAATGCCTTTTATGGGCAAGCACTCTGTTAAAAGTGCTTCACATTTACTATCCTACTTAATCTCACTAAGCCTCTGTTTCCACTATGTAAATGAAGATGGTAATACACACCTAACACAGCTAAGAAATTTCGGAGTCAGAATTTGAAACCAAGCGTGTCTGCCGCCAAAACCAATGCAAACACTTCGTATCTCTTTAATTTTTTTTAAATGCTAGCCTCAGAAAGTTGTTTTTACTTTTATGTAGATTTTTTAAAAATCAGAAGTAAATAAAAATTCTACAGCTAGGTAGATAAAATGTGTGTTTTTTGGCAGTTAGTGTAAGAAGACTTAATTTTGCTGACTCAATAAATTGAGTCCAGTAGATTTGTTGGAGTTTTCAAGAGCACTAGTCTTAGTCCTGATCATTATATAATCATAAAAGTAACAGTATGTATCTTCCTGGCAATTTGGAAAATCACTTTTATAATGTTCTATTTCCACTGGCTAATCTGCTGATAAGCTTACATTTTCCTCAATCTGCTTCAAAAATCTGAACATTCATAAACTGTATTTGAATTAACATCTATTATTTTTAACTCCTCGATAAGTTAAAAGATTCATCAAAATCATGAATATCACCTTTCTATTATAGATTATTTTTCCCGGTTACATAATGGATCGTTAGTGGTAAAATATTTCATTGATAATTATCAAAGTAGAATAATTAAGATTTTTTCATTAAAAAGCCTTGATAATGTAGGAAATAACTTATTCTGTGAATTTATAGATTGTTACTGGAAAGTGAGTGCTAGTCTAAAAATCAGGACTTTAAAAGCCAAAGATCTAATATACACCAAGAACTTTGACAGGCGTTATATTTTTTGACCCAGTAATTCCACTTCTATAAATTTCCCCTAATAAAATAAACAAAGGAGTGAGAAAAAGATTACATAAAATGCCATTTGTCTCATAGTTAATTTATAATAGCAAAGCTTTGGAAACTGTTCAAATGCTTAGCTAAGAGAATGTTTTAATAGGAAATACTGAGTGACCATTAGAAATCTGTTGTCATAGACTATTTAATCTTAGAGGAAATGCTTTTGATGTAATGCTATTTAAAAAAAAAAAAGATATACTTACAGAAAGAAAAAAACTGATTTTCTTTGAATCATGGAATGATGGGAGATTTCACAGTTTTGCTGTAAATGTGTTTAAAAGTTTTTACATTGTGTATGTATTATCTTTATAGCCAGTTGAAATAAACTTTTGAAAAGTTAAAGTTTCCTTCAATATACATTAATCTTGAAATTAATACTTGATGTTAAAATACATGGGTGATTTGTTATGTGATAAAAGCCTACCATAAAATGTTACTTTAAAATTAATTTATCTAATTCTTAGTCCCAGTTTTCACTTTGGTACTGTACAGTGCATACATACAATGGAATATTACTCAGCCATAAAATAATGAAATCTTACCATTTACAACGACATGAATGGACCTAGAGGGTATTATGCTAAGTGAAATAAGTCAGAGAAAGACAAACACCATATGATTTCACTTATATGTGGAATCTAAGGAAAAATAAGTGAACGAACAAAATGAGAACAGACTCATAGATACAGAGAACGATTGGTGGGAGATGGGAGAGGGGTTGGGGGTTGGGTGAAAAAAGTGAAGGGAGTAAGAAATACAAATTGGTAGTTACAAAATAGTCACAGGGAAATGAAGTACAGCACAGGGAATATAGTCAATAATATTGTAAGAACTATGTATAGTGCCATATGGGTACTATACTAATCGGGGGGAATCACTTTGTAAATTATATAAATGTCTAACCACTATGCTGTATATCTGGAACTAATATAAAATAATACTTAATGTCAACTCTAATCTCTAATAGAAAAATAAAAAATTTTTTAAATTTAGCCAATAGAAAAATAATAATTTAAAGTAACATAATTATGGCTTTGCCAATAATTACATATCTTGTTTATAAAAGTTAAATAATTAGGTTTTACTTTTCTATATCTCAAGAGCACTTGGTAAAATTGCACATAACAGATGTCTAACAATTATTCATTTAATTTTAATGAATCTCTCCCCTCTACTCGCTAGAGCGAACAGACCTAGCGAGAGTCAGCAGGGCCTGCCTCCTTTTTTTTTTTTTAAAAAAACTATTGGCACTTAAAAGCAGACTAGAAAAAAATTGAAAATCAAAATGAAGTAATCATCAAAAAGAAGCTGAGGACTGGCCGAGATCTAGTTTTTGGCTAATGTTCTCGTTCAGTTTTTTGTTTTAAACAACATAGTCTTACGCATTATTGTGTTTGTATTTCTTAAAAGTCCAGCTGTGCTGACTGGTGCGGCTCCTCCCCACTCCTCTCCGCTCCTCTCCTCTTCTCTTCTCTTCTCTCTTCTCTTCAGAGACCTCATTCTAACTTTGTCTGTTTGCCCTGCATGAGTCTGAAGCTCTCATCTCCCTTGGCCCCATCTAACTTTGCAGGTGAAAGGCTAACTCGACTTCATTATTGCCCTCAATTTGTCACCCAGCTTGGTGTGCTTTTCACTCATGGACTGGGGATGTTTAGGGTGTGGGCAAATATCCCTAAGGCTGAGGATCACAGTCCAATGCCATGATCTAATGCCTGTTGAATGACTGAGGTAGGAAAGGGGGCATAGGACAATGGAAGGAACTCAGGAGTTGGAAAGTTCCTTAATTAGAAGGGCTTTAAGCCTTTATTTCCCCTTTTTGCCCCTTTCCCCCCAACCTGAAAATTACCTTCTCTCACCTTGCTGACTTCTCAACTTCTTTGGGTTTAGGCTGGACTACTAAGTGCCCACCACACTGCCAGTCATTTTAACCAAATTTCTCTATTCTTGGCTCTTATTAAGAATTAACAAATGTTTCTCAGGAGAAGAAAAAAAAAACCCAGAATCTAGACACATGATTAAATGAACTTAATGTATGCTAAATTATTAATCCTCTGGTTTGTGAAAACATTGCACACTGGGCATCAATGTTATACTTTTCATCTAAATGTCCATTTTATTTGAAATCCAATAAATAGTTCTGTTGGATGATCTTGAAACATTAAAAAAAAAAAAAAGCTATATTTGGAATTAGAAGTCTTAGGTTAAGGTCCAGGGTCAGTTGTCTCCAACTGTATAACAGATCAGTCACTTAACCTTTCTGAACATGTCTCCATCATTTTGTCCGCAAAATGAGGATGATATTACCTGCTTCACTTAAGTCAGTTCTGCAATTCCCTCACTGGTAGCACTAGCCTAAGTGATAGGAGGTATGCCCTGGTGTCCCCGGCTTCCTGGCAGTATAGCTACCCTCCTACATGCTTGGGCCAAAATCGCTTACTCAGAATTGTGGGATTCAAAGTCACCCTCCCAGGCATGCTTGGAACTCATTCAAATTTGAACTCCTCTTTCACCCGTCTCTTATCAGAGGTTCTGTGGGACCCATCTCTATTCCTCCTTGCTTTCTATCTTTGAAAAGGTTATACCAGCTACATTCACTTCTGACATTGTCTTCATTTAGCGAAACTACTAGCAGTCCATGCCCCCTCCCCTTCCTTGCTTCAGCAGAGATTTTATTTTTCTAGCTTTATTAAGCTATAATTGACGTATAACATTGTGTAAGTTTGAGGTACTCACTCAATGCATTGATTTCATACATTTATATATTGCAAAATGATTACCACCATAGCATTAGCTAACTCCTCTATCCCATCCCATAATCAACATTTCTTTTTTCTGAAAACATTTAAGATCTCTCTTAGCAACTTTCAAGTATATAATACAGTATTATTAGCTATAGGCACCATGTTATACATTAGATCCCTAGAACTCATAAATCTTATAACTGGAAGTTTGTACTCTTTGATCAATATCTCCCCTACACTACCCCTACCTTCCCGCCCTTGGTAACCGCCACTCTACTTTCTATTTCTCTGTGTTTAGCTTTTTTTAGATTCCACAGATAAGTGATATCATACAGAGTTTATCTTTCTCTCAGCATAGATTTTCTTTTTAAGTCACTTGTGAGCAAATTTTGAGCTGCCTTCTTACCTCAGAAAGCGGCTTCTTTTCTCTGGTGTTTTCTTATGACATCCCTTGTTCATCTTTCCTTTAACTCTTACATTTCCCCCCAGAAATCCATCTCTTCTTTTGTGTCTCCCCCTCTCTCCTTGCGGCCTCTCCCTCCGCTTTCTTCTCTTACAGCCAGCGGGTAGGCCGCAGCCTCATTTAATGGCGGTGACCACAGCAGTGCTCCATTTCCCGTTCACGCACTGCCTCTAAAGCTAATTCAGTTGGTCTGCACTTTGTTTCACTGTAGCATTCTCTTGGGCCACTCACTCAAGTCTGCTTGTTCAACAATGGTTTCTTCTGGAACAGTTTTCCAGATTGCAAACCACACTCAGACCGTTTTCAAACTCTTCTCTCTAGCTTACACTTGATTGTCTCTGACAGCAGTTCAAACCCTCCTCCCCAAACAGAAAGCTCTGGCGAGGAGTTTATTTCTCACCACGCAGAGAGAACACAGCCTTGACAGAGTCTGATGGCCACTCCCAGGGGCAGGGAAGGATACTGCTGAGATGGTGCGGTAGGGTGGCCAACCGTCCCAGTTTACCTGGACGAAGAGTTCCAAGGATACAGGGCTTTTAGTTTTAAACCAGGACAAAGGTATAAATCTAGTTTAAAGTGGATCTTTTCATGCAGGGTCTTGGCTGGACAAAGATCATGATATGATAAGTTAGGATTAATGGAAACAACAAGGCAAAGACTTTGAGGTGAGGGGTTTCAAGAGTCTTGGGATATGAACAAACTGTTGATACTTTCTGTTGAAGCACTGATGGGTCTTTTAAGAAGTTCCTGTAATGAACAACAAAGTTATTTGCCTGGGCAAAAGTTATGCTAATGAAGACAATGCGCCAGTAAGGTTATCTGAATATAGACAGTCAACTGAGGAGGTGGTTTCTGCTCTAAGACATAATTCCATCCCCTCTTTTCCAAAGTCAGTTTCACACTCCTTAGTCAAAACACCAAGCCCAGCGTTCTGCTGTTGTTGTGTTTTCACATTTTACACGAACACTGAGGCACCTCCAACCCAAGTGCCTGATGGGACAGACTCTTGGCAGAAAGGGTCCTTGGGGTGTCAGGTAAATGAGTATCCTTTTCATAAACATTTGTTAAACCTGATTTATGTTGTTTCATCTTTGATAAAAACAGAAATGGATGTATTTTAGTGAACGTGCTCTTTATAACTTTTACAGAGAGATTCGAAACACCAGAAACTTGGCTTACATAGACCCTGGTGCCCTAAAAGAACTGCCTCTTCTGAAGTTCCTGTAAGTATTAACTGCTCTCCAATCTCATTTTATAATTTTTTAAATTTTTCCTAGAGAATTATAATGCCATTGTCCGCAGGAATCTCCCTAGGATGATGTGGACTATAATCATTTTAGTGGCATAAGGGCCGGGGCAAATCATATCCTGTGATGTTCTCTCCACCCTTTCCCATCATCATGCAAAGTATGAGGTGAAATGATCCACATTTAAAATATCTATCCAAAAGTCAGCACCTACTGCTGGGTCCAGACACCTGCTCCAAGAGACATGAGGGGTAAAACGCCATCATGTAGATGTAGTCTTTAAATGAAGTATAACAGAACAAAACAAAACAAAACTTTGAGATCCCACTGGCCAATTTTATTAGAAAATGAGTATGACAACATTAGAGTGACCGTTACACATTAAAAAAAAAAAAAGCTACAAAGGGTAAAATCCAATCTCTTGGAGGCTGGGGGGACAAAAATGGAAGGGACAGCACTTACTGCTTTGCTTGGGTGACATCTAACCATAACCTCCATGACAGCAAGGGAACACAACATTTTTTCTCTGTTGCATCTTTACTGACTAGCACAGAGTAGGTGCTCAACAAAAATGTGTTCCGTGGATGTGTATGTTTGGCTTCACGTCCTCTAGGCACCAGCTGGAAGAATCCTTCCCTTCTCTTCTTTCCAGCTCATGTGTATTGTAAAAAATTAGAACATAAAAACGTTATGAGAAAAAAAAAGTCAAACTTAATCCCAATACCTAGGAATAATCACTATTAACATAATTCATTTCCATCTAGGGATTTTAAATAAAAGTATATATCCATATATACTTTATGAAATAAGCCTTTAAGGATGAATAGAAGTTGTCCAGGAAAAGAAGTAGGTTGGGGTAGAAGAGAAATACAGGTGGATGGAAAAGCATGGTAAAGACATAAAGGTATGGAACCACATGACTTATTTGGGGAACTAAGAATAGTTATGTACTGAGGAGGTGGAAGTGGGAGACGATGGGAGAATGGAAAAGGATATCGATGGGGTTATGTGGCTGAAGGGATATCTGGGAAGTAATAAAAACTTACAGGTCAAGGCAATCCCTCCTTTATGGACTCTATGTTTCAATCAATCAATAACTTTTTGACATCATAATCCCCTACTATGTGCAAGGCTTTTTGGGGAACATGTAAGACAATAAAATATTGTCCTTGCCTTCAAGAAGATTACAAGCTAGTTGAGGAAGATACTATAAATGCAATTGAAAAGTTCCTCCCTTATAAGAGAATACTAGTGACAAGTGACAGGTACATACATTACTTAGGGGTACAGGTAATTAGAGGAGACATCAAAAAGGAGGTGAGCTTGTTTGGGATTTTGATACAGAGGTCCTTGTCCAAGTCCCTAATCTAGCATTTCCAGCCTTTTCCTATATGGTTCCCACTTAAGTCTTGGGTTCCCCCAATTCTTCCATGTGAACAACTGTTAAAATTGAACTAGTTTGTTTACTGTTCTTCAAATATACCTTATGGGATCTCATCTCTCTTCTTGTTATCTTCAATGTCCCATTAGCTCTTTTTGAGACCCTGGCTCCTGCTTCCGCTTCAAATCCTATGCCTTCCCCTCCACAGGGAGTCAGGTCAGAATTTGCTTTAGAAGGTACATCAATAGAACTAGAGTTTTTTTCTACTGGAAGACTTTCTTTAAGGCTTTACTGGTAGTGTCTAGGTCTCACACTATACCATGCCAAACCACTCAAAAAAGTCTCTGCTTCCTCTGTCTAGAACATTCTAGCAGCTGCAACAAATGTTAAAACAACTAAATCTGGAGGCATTAGGAGCCTGACAGGTTTTCTTTGATTCAGGCTGTTCTGTGCACATCTTTTAATCTTGACATTTTGCCTTGATGACACAAATTTTGTAAAGTGAAGACATTTTAACTGATTTCCTTCCCTTTCTGGACATATTTTTTAAACAGTACTGCTTCCATGGTACTCCCATGTGAAAACCATTCTTGGCAAAATAATGAACACAATATAGTGTAGAGTTTGAAAGAGAAAGCTTGGCTTAACATTAGGTAATTATACTATCTTCCTGCCCCATCCTCCCCTTATTTTGTATATATATTAATATGTATTAAATATAGATAGATGCGGGGGCGGGGGGGGGACAAACAGACAGACAGACAAAAGGAGAGAGAGAGAAAGACCTGAATTCCTATTTCTAGAAATCCTACTTGGTTCAAACAATCCCACATTCTTCTAAACAAAAGATGTTTTGACATTAGTGGACTGGATTATATTCTTGCACCTTGAGGGAGCATCATCTCATCCAAGGATGAGAAATTGCCTGTGGTCACTCAGATATTTAGTGGAGGTGTTAGGATTTGACTCCAGTCCAATTTCAGAATGCATGCTTTCAGCTATTATGTTATTCTACTTCCTATGTATTAATTTTCTTACCTAATTTCTGTTCTTTTTTCCTTCTTTTTCATTACTTTAGTGGCATTTTCAACACTGGACTTAGAATATTCCCTGACCTGACCAAAGTTTATTCCACTGATGTATTCTTTATACTGTGAGTATGCGTACATGTGGTGTTTGGCAATATTTTGTTGGTCAATGACAAGGAATGGAGTGCAACCATGGAAGTTCGTTGAAGCCAAGTGAAGCAATTGTTTCAGGAAGGAAGCAGTGATCAGCAGTGACCAATGCATTGATGAATGAATAAGGCAAGGACTGAGAAATGGCCACTGGGCTTAGCAATGTGACTCTAACAAAGACAGGTCCAGTGGAGCGCTTTTGGTGGAGAAGTCTGGTTAGAGTGGGCTCAAGAGAGAATCAGAGAGGGAGAATGAGAGAGTGATAATACAAATTCTTTTTGAGAAGGTTTACTATTAAAAAGGAGTAGAAAATGTCTTAGTGGTTGGAGGATATTAGATCAGGAGAAAAGGTTTGTTGTGTTGTTGTTTTTTTTAATGATAGAAATTATTGCATGTTTGTTTGCTGATAGAAATGATTAAATAGAAGGAAATTTTGGTGATAACAATGATACTTTAGTTTTCATGTAGTTTTTAATAGATTTTCAAACACTCGCCCAAGTATTATCAAGTTTGTGCCTCTCAACTACCTTTTAAAGCATAAAAGGAAATTATAATTTTTCCATTCTGCAGATGAGGAAACTAAGGAAGAGAAAACCTAAATGATTTTGTTTGAGCAGAGTCCCAAGAGTCACTAGTGTTGCTTAAACTACTTCCTGTGGCTCCTGATTGGTGAACATGTGCTCTTTTCTAAAACCCATGACACAGTCACCTGTCCCACGACACAGTCAAATGCTTTACCTAATTGTACAGACGTGAAAAGGTGTATGCAGAGAGAGTTATAGGCTGTGTTTGCACTACAGAGTCAATAAAATGTGTAGTGATAGGATTCAAACTCTTGGGATTTTGCTAGAAAAAATTGACCATGCTTCTTTGCTGCAGAAGAGCTCAGTTCAAATTATAGTTGGTCTTCCAACAACTAGACTGGCATAAAAATATTCTCCAGGAGCACTTGCCTGGCAGTGTTTTGCAAGTGTAGGACACTTTAGAAATACTTATGAAAGGAAATCCATTGATCCCATTCTACCAACCCTTTTTAAAGGTTCCATACCCTTATAAAACTCTAATTGCTATGGACAAAGTACTTGATGTAGATTCATAAGAAGTCTCTGAGACCTACATGCTCTGTTTGTAGACGAGGATTAAATCAGGAACCTCAGCCCACATCTAAAGCTCACTCACTTACTGTGCATTTAGAGCTATGAGAGCATGTTCACCTAGAATAACTCTCACCACCTCACTGGACCTCTGAGCCCCCAGAAGTGAAGATGGGTCAATGAAACTTAAAAAGAGATAAGACTAAACAGAATAACATCAGGTTATTTATTGAAGTGCATATGTACCATAAGGGCCCAGCTCCAGAATAGTTTCTTTTCCTAAGTGTTTTTTTGTACCTCTCTTGCAGTGAAATTACAGACAACCCTTACATGACTTCGATCCCTGAGAATGCTTTTCAGGGGCTGTGCAATGAAACCTTGACACTGTGAGTATTGTTATAATTTTTCCATCCTGCAAATGCCAACAACTGAATTTTGATTTGAGCTATTTTCATATTTTCATAGGCCATGCAAGAACCACACTACTTTATAGTGTGTGTTCTGTGGTCTACCAAGGGTTTCACATAATTGAATAAGTGTATTGCCTTATGGTATGGTGCTCTAGATGACAGAATGGTTTAGGTAACAAGACAAGAGTATATTCCCTTATAGAAATGGTCAGCATACTTTATTTGTAAAGAGCCATTTAGGTTTTACAGACCACATCACTTTTGTGGCAAGTGCTCAACTCTGTCACTGTAGGGCAAACACAGACACACACAATACATAAACTAATGAGCATGGCTATACTCCGATAAAGATTTATTTACAAAAACTAGCAGTGGGCCAAATGCGGCCTATAGGCATTATAATAATGTATATTCTAGTATTTCCATTGGACAGAGGAAGAACCTGGAGTTAAAGCAAATTTAAATGACTTATCCACAGTCACTGAGGTGTCACTAAGGGCTTTTCAGACCTGCAGTCACACTTTAATTCTGTCATCATGAAGTGTTATTAAGCTCTTATAAAGGGATAGTGAATATTGCGGTTCAACATCATTTTTTCAGAGTTTCAATGGTTTCTGCTCTTTAGGTGTTCAAAAAGAGATACGTTATCAGAGAAGTTCACAAAATATTCCAACCTCTAGGACTCTCTCCATAGTGGAGCATTTCCATTCGTCCTTCTCCTTGAAACATGGGAGGGCTCTACTAAAAAGACAAGAGACTCCTTCTCAGCCACCATTTCGTTTGACAGTGCAGCAAAGACCTGGAGTCTTAGCCTGCTCAGCCCCAAAGCTCAAGGCCATTTACCTTCTTTCCAAAGGTTTCCATTGAGCTATTTACTGCTCATCATACGGAAACTCCATTCAAATTCTTTACAGAATGTTATCTTCATAACATTCAAGCAACCCTCTCAAGTGAAAGCTGCTCATTGTCCCACACTTAGCATGGGGCCCAGTGGGCATTTTATAAACATCTAGATGAGGGAAACTCATATTTCCTGAAATCTAGAGGTGAGAATGGCATGGCTTGTCTATTATCTTTACAGATGATTATTTTTATATTTCTGCAAAAGTCCTTGCTTTTTTGAAGCTCATGCCTAAAAAACTATAAATGTGAAAGGATATGTATCCAACGGCAGAGTTTGTACCCATTTCCCAGTAAAATAGAGTTTCGATCAAAGTTTGTTATTCCTTTTTCTTTCTTTGCTATTTTTTCTTTGCAAGCCCTACTTGTCTAATGAGTATTATTTGCTGTCTAAAATGTTATTCCAACAAAGAACATTTTTATTGTCTAGGACTATGGACAAAGCTTGGGAAAATAGAACTACCAAATATGTAATTCTCACATCTTCATAAAAGAACTCTAGTTCACAACAAAATAAAATAAAATAATAAAATAACTATCAGTGCTTTCTCAGCCTCTGTATCTAGTGTCCCTGTGCATTGCAGTCCTCACCCAGGACACCTTAGTAGGTGGAATTAAACTCGCTGTGTAATTATTTCAAACAAAACACAAGCAAAAACAAAGACTACCTCTCAGTCTTCCACAACTACATAGGATAAATCCAAGTTTTCAGGGTACTCCTCTTAACAAGGCCGTCTCATAAGTGTCCCTCACTGTTAAATACATAACTGTTTCATCCTCCCAGCAGCCTGTTGATTAGGTATTATTATCATATTTTCACAGATAAGAAATTGAGGATAAAAGAGGTTGAGAAATTATCAGGATCACTCGCTATGAAGTGACAGAGCCAGTTCTAATTTCAAATTTGGAGCCTCTTTAAGCTTCTTACTTCTTACCAGAGTTTATAGGTGATGATTTGCAGCAGCGCTCAGAGTTCCCCTACACTTGCCACTAGCTGTGCCTGATTGTGGTCATGCTGCTTTCTCTTATCTCATGGCAATAGCTCCTAATGACGCCCATGTGGGAACCAGAGTTCCCACAGCTGAGGCTCCTTCTCCTCCACAAAAGGGTGTGTGCTTTCAGTGAGTGGGAAGAATCATTTTTGAGGTCAGAAACCCTGATTCTTGACAGTTCTGCATCGACGTGGTTTTGGCAAGTTACCTGTATGTCTCAGTAATTTAACTAGGAAATACAGGTGATAACACTTTAGTCCAGCTGGAATCACTGTATGAATTAATTGGTTGCAGAAATATAGCAACAAAATAAAACATTAAAATTTCCACAAAAAGGCATGGTCTAGCTACTTTCTTAAATTTGTCTTTGAAGTCCAATTTAATTCACCCGACAACCACTAAGCATTTAATCTGTAATAAACTCTGAGAAAAAAAAATATGAATAAAATACAAATGTGAAATAGAATTTTACATAGAAAAATATAAAACTTATGCATTCAGGAGAACAATGTTCTTAAAAGCGCGCATCTTAAGAAACTGTAGCTATTCCTCCATTGTTGACATTGGGTTAACCATTACCTGAAACTCTTGTGTTTTTGAGTAGATGCAGAACGTTTTTAAAAAGTCCTTAATGGTAGCAAATCTTTGTTCCCCAGAGTGAATCTGCTTCTGAGCAGCAGCTTAAAGTTACTAGAAGCTAAGTCTGGATAATGGGGATTAAAACTGAGAAATATTATTCTATGTCCCAAGTAAGATATACTGTAACGTTTTCTCATGGGGCTTGTGTGTGGGACCTGAGAACCTTCATGCACATACTGAAGAAATGAAGCCCAACCCCAGAAAAGGGCTAGCACCACCTCGTATAAGTCACTGATTTCTACTCTCTCTGTTGATTGTAGGAAACTATACAACAATGGCTTGACTTCAGTCCAAGGACATGCTTTCAATGGGACAAAGCTGGATGCTGTGTAAGTCAAGGATAACCATGGAAACTGCTATCTTTCCCCAGACTCCCACCACCAGGAAGGGCTGTCCAATGGGGTGGAATTCTTCTAGAGATAGTTTCTACCAGAGCATTCCTCAACCACATAGTATGACCAATACTTGGGATGATGTTAAAGGAACTTGGCAAGAGCCACTTTTAGTAGACACTTACAGTGATGCCAGTTCTAAGTCCCAAAGTCTTTATCCTTGATAAAATGGAGAATCATGGTGTCACTTACAGTTATTTTGTAGGAGTGTGTGTGCGTGTGCGCGTGTGTGTGTGTGTCAGTGTCCATCTACTATGTTCATGACGTGAAGGGAGTATCTTTAACTAACTCCAAAGCTGTTCAAAAAGTAAGGATTTCTTTTTAGATTTTTCCTGACAGGTTTTCAGGAAGGATGTGTTTATATTTGATTCACTCAGAAATAGCTGAAAAGCTATATCCAACGTTTGCCTTCTCCCCAAATAAATAATTCCTAGAACAGAATGTTGGCAAAAAGATAGCCACTGACATGGGTTTCTGCCTTTGTCATACCTTTCTATCAGGTCTTTGTGGTCCTCAGTATCTATGCCAGGGCATACTATGTGTCTAAGAGCTTGTGGACTAGTCCAGTTGTACTGGTGTGTGTTTTAACCTAATATCTAACAAATGAAAATGAGTCTGTTTCCCACAGTACAGTAGACGAGTTAATTTGTAGGGACCTCTCACTACAAAATGACAAAATTATACATTAAAAATTTTTTTTTCATAGCTCCTAGAGAGAGAAATAAACTAATAAGCCAGAAGCTGAAACCAAAGTGGTAAATGCTCACAAGTTCCCTTTGGGGTAGCTGCCAACATCAGTACTGCCAGGAGACTAGGCTTTAGTACAATGAGAAGGCAAGGGACATGATGTAAACCTGAGATTCCTAGATTAAGCCAGGGAACCTGGACAGGTTGTGCCACGCCAAGTAGTACCTCTTGACTCTTAACAGAAATAAATGCAAATCTCTACAGAGGAAAGAATCCTAATGTAGGCTCCCAGGTTTTAAAGATTAAGACCAATCAAATATGAGCTCACAGTCAAAAATCACATAGGAGAAAAAAAATCATGGGTAACAATCAGCTGAAGCAACAAACAACAGATTTTTGTGTTTGATTTGTTTCGTAACACTTCATTGAATATTTTTTAATAATTATATATTTTCAACTCCAGAAGTTCTATTTGCTTGTTAGAAAATTTATCTGTTCATGCTTGACAACTTTGTTGCCCACTCATTTTTGTGATTCTTTTTTTTCCCTTAAACATTTTATGAATAGTTATTATATATTCTAGAAATGATCACTACAAAATCTGAGGGCTTATGCTTCTAAATCTGTTATATCATACAGTACTTCCCAAACTTTAATGAGCATATAAATCATCTGGAGGATCTTGTTAAATTAAAGATTCTGATATGGTAGATCTGGGGTATGCCCAGGATTCTGCATTTCTAACAAGATCCCAGGTGATGCTGATGCTTCTCACCCATTGACCATGCTTGAAGTAGGTAAATAACCTACATAATCATATGCAGTAGGTAAATAACCTACATAACCTACATAACTCAATGCAAAACAAACGAACAAAAAACCCACATGTTTAGTGATGTTGTTCTGGTTTTGGGGTTAAGTGGTGGGTTCTGGTATAAATCCATTTTTAAAGAATAAATGCTAATAAGTTTTTAAATCAGTAAACCTTGGCATGGCTTTCTCAGTTTGTTTGAAGTGGGGTCTCACTCTTTGCCAGGCTTTTAGGTTTCCTAGTAGTCTGCATCAAAATAAAGAGAGTACCTTTCTTTAGATTGTCTGGTTATGGGCTCATTCAGGTTAATTTTAGTCATTTTTTAAAATACATAATTATAGGGGAAACCTAAAAAGAATCAGTAGAGTAATATGAATACTTATACATCAAATTTATTTTCGTGTTGGAGAGACCCCACTTCCAACTTAACTTTGTGGTATGAATCTTACACAATGCTTCATTTATTTTCAACATATTGACTGAGCACCTACAATGAGCCAGGTGCTGTGCACTAAATAACTGAACACTAAATACCTAATAGCATTGGCCTCCTTTCTGAAGATATAAGTATGGTTTCCCCTGACTTAGCACATGTTTTTTAAATTATTAGCATTTAATTTTGACATTACATGAATCTAACCAAATATTTTCCTCTTTGATTCAACTATTCTCAGAAACCCTTGACCTTAGGAAAATGAACTTCTCAATTCAAATTTTCTATAAATGAAGTGGAGGTATTGAGACTCCTTAAAATAATTATGACAGTTTATAGATACTTAGGGTATAAAGATTTCAAAAGACCATCACACTGTTCTAGGCATTGGGAACATCAAGAGGTTATTATTAAGGCAACAGAGAATCACACTAGCAAGGGCAGAGGTAGGAATAGTGAAGAAATCTTCAACCAGAGCTCACAATATGGCTCCTGAATTCGGTGTATCCAGCTGACTCTTGCCTAAACCAAAACTGCCTTTCCAGGATGCTGGATGAGAAAAAGGACCAGAAACCAACTTTGGATATAGGGTAATTCATTTCTAAAACTTTTATTTTTCCACAAGCAAAGGATTTTTAAGCCTAAGATTAGGATCTATGCTTTAAATTATTTGTTTCTTTATCCTGCCATCTTTAGTCATTGTAAGATATCACCCTAAATAACTCTCAGTTATCTTTTCTTTAGGGACATAGATTTGGGGTATAAAATTCAGACCTTAAAGTCTACAGAGCAATGATTCACAATATTAGCTGCAAATCTGAATCACCTGAAGAGATTTGAAAGCGCCGATGCCTAGGTTTTACTACAAGACATTCTGGTTCATCGGTGTAGGTGTAGCCAGGTCACTGGGTATTTAAAAATCTCCCCTGGTATGTCCTATGCAAAGCAAAAGTCAGGAACTGATGCTATGGAGTACCTACAGCAATCCTCTGGCCCAGTAGTCACGTTTACATTTGAAGCCCAAAGTGAACACATGGCTTTTTTTTTAATGTACTTTAAAAAAAAAAAAAAAAACATGGCTTTTATGTAAAATATTAAGGTTATTTATAGGAGTTTGATAAGTGTGGGAAATATTTCTTTTTTTATATTAGTTTCAAGTATATAGTACAATGGTTACATGTATATAAATAATGAAGTGATCCCTATGATTGCTCTGGCACCCATCTGGCTCTACATACAGCCATTATAATAATATTGACCATATTTCTTGTGCTGTACTCTATGTCCTTGTGACTGTTTTGTAACTACTAATTTCTAACTATTTCTTCATCTCTTCACCTTTTTCACCCAGTCCCCCAAATCCCCTCCCCTCTGGCAATCACCAGTTTGTTCTCTGTATCTGTGAGTCTGTTTTTATTTAGTTTGTTCACTTCTTTTCTTTCTTATATTCTACTTATAAGTGAAATCATATGGTATTTACTTTTGTCTGACTTATTCTATTCAGCATGATACCCTCTATGTCTCTCCATGTTATTAAAACTTATAAGATTTCAATTTTTTATAGCTGAATAACATTCCATTGTATATATGTACCATAACTTTATCCCATTGTCTATTGATGTGCACTTAGGTTGTTTCTATATCTTGGCTATTGTGAATCAAGCACTGCCATGGATATAGGGGTACATAGATCTTCACAAATTAGTGTTTTGGTTTTCTTTGGATAAATACCCAGAAGTGCAATTGCTAGGTCAAAATGTATTTCTATTTTTTTAATGTTTTGAGAAATCTCCAAACTTTTCAATAGTGGCTGCACCAATTTGTAATCCCAAACAGTGTATGAGGATTTCCTTTTCTCCACATCCTCGCCAACATTTGTTGTTTTTTGATTTATTGATGTTAGCTATTCTGACAGGTGTGAGGTATTATCTCATTGTGGTTTCAATCTGCATTTCTCTGATGATTAGTGACCTTGAGCATCTTTTTGTATGTCTATGGGCCATCTGTATTTCGTCTTTGGAGAAATACCTATTCAGGTCTTCTGCCCATTTTTTAATCAGATTGTTTGTTGTTGTTGAGTTGTATGAGTTCTTTATAAATTTTGGATATTAACCCCTTGTCAGATGTATCAGAGGCAAATATCTTCTCCCATTCAATAGGTTGTCTTTTCATTTTGTTGATGGTTTCCTTTTCCATGTAAAAACTTTTTAGTTTGATGTAGTCCAGTTCGTTTATTTTTTCTTTTGTTTCCCTTGTCTGAGGAGATACATCAGGAAAAAAAAAAATTACTAATAGCAATATCAGAGAGTTTACTGCCTATGTTTTCTTCTAGAAGTTTTATGGTTTCAGGTCTTACATTTAAGACTTTAATCAATTTTGACTTTATTCTTATATGTGGTATAAGAAAGTGGTCCAGTTTCATTTATACCACATATTCTTATATATGGTATAAGAAAGTGGTCCAGTATAAGAAAGTGGTCCAGTTTCATTTTTTTGCATGTATCTGTCCAGTTTTCTCAATGCCATTTATTGAAGAGAGAGAAATATTTCTTAATTAAGAATCATTTGTTTCTTGATTTTTAAAAGACTAGATCAGAGTTTAGCAAGCATTTTCTGGAAAGGGCCAGATAGTAAATATTTGGGGCTTTGTGAGCCATATGATCCTAGTGGCAGCTACTCAACTTTGCCAACATAACATGAGAGCAGACATAGATAGTACATAAAAAATGAGCATGGCTGTGTTCTAATAAAACTTTATTTACAAAAACAGTCAGCAAGCAAAATTTGACTGGATGGTCATAGTTTGTGAACCTCTGGTCTAGGTGAAAGTATTCCGTGAGGATGACAATCATGTGATGAAATATGTGATCTGTTTCTCTCAATTCCTGGTAATGGATAATGGGCAAACATGAGATAAAGATGAGAAGTATCTGGATAGAAATATTTTTGCGTTTAAAAATTCAGATCCAATCATAATAGAAAACAAAGATCTTTTTTTGTTCCAAT